ATATATTTCAGATGTTTATTTTGTTTAATTTTGATGATTACAAATGACAACAAATGAAAATCTCAAATTCATCATATCAGAAAATTAGAATATTGTGAAAAGGTTCAAAATTGATGGCCCCTGGTGCCACACTCTAATCAGCTAATTAACTCAAACCACCTGCAAAAGCCTTTAAATGGTCTTTCAGTCTAGCTCTATAGGCTACACAATCATGGGGAAGACTGCTGACTTGACAGTTGTCCAAAAGACGACCATCGACACCTTGCACAAGGAGGGCAAGACACAAAAGGTCATCGCTAAAGAGGCTGGCTGTTCACAGAGCTCAGTGTCCAAGCACATTAATAGAGAGGCGAAGGGAAGGAAAAGATGTGGTCGAAAAAAGTGTACAAGCAAGAGAGATAACCGCACCCTGGAGAGGATTGTGAAACAAAACCCATTCAAAAATGTGGGGGAGATTCACAAAGAGTGGACTGCAGCTGGAGTGAGTGCTTCAAGAACCACCACACACAGACGTATGAAAGACATGGGTTTCTGCTGTCGCATTCCTTGTGTCAAGCCACTCTTGAACCACAGACAGCGTCAGAAGCGTCTTGCCTGGGCTAAAGAGAAACAGGACTGGACTGCTGGTGAGTGGTCCAAAATCATGTTCTCTGATGAAAGTAAATTTTGCATTTCCTTTGGAAATCAAGGTCCCAGAGTCTGGAGGAAAAGAAGAGAGGCACTTCATCCACGTTGCTTGAAGTCCAGTGTAAAGTTTCCACAGTCAGTGATGGTTTGGGGTGCCATGTCATCTGCTGGTGTTGGTCCATTGTGTTTTCTGAGGTCCAGGGTCAACGCAGCCACATACCAGGAAGTTTTAGAGCACTTCATGCTTCCTGCAGCTGACCAACTTTTTGGAGATGCAGATTTCATTTTCCAACAGGACTTGGCACCTGCACACAGTGCCAAAGCTACCAGTACCTGGTTGAAGGACCATGGTATCCCTGTTCTTAATTGGCCAGCAAACTCTCCTGACCTTAACCCCATAGAAAATCTATGGGGTATTGTGAAGAAGAAGATGCAATACACCAGACCCAACAATTCAGAAGAGCTAAAAGCCACTATTAGAGCAACCTGGGCTATCATAACACCTGAGCAGTGCCACAGACTGATCGACTCCATGCCACGCCGCATTGCTGCAGTAATACAGGCCAAAGGAGGCCCAACTAAATACTGAGTGCTGTACATGCTCATACTTTTCATGTTCATACTTTTCAGTTGGCCAACATTTCTATAAATCCTTTGTTTTTATTGGTCTTCAGTAATATTCTAATTTTCTGATATGATGAATTTGAGATTTTCATTTGTTGTCATTTGTAATCATCAAAATTAAACAAAATAAACATCTGAAATATATGAGTTTGTATGTAATGTATGAATATAATATACAAGTTTCACTTTTTAAATGGAATTACTGAAATCAATCTACTTTTTCATGATATTCTAATTTTATGACCAGCACCTGTATGCAGAATCACAACAATCAAGAACAACTATACCAGAGAAAATTGATAAAATCTAAAAATCAAACCTGAAAGAACAAAGCTTTTGTGGCAGTACAGATGAATGCAAACAGTTAATTAATCTTCGTATATTGTATATTTATATATAAATACTGTGAGGTGAGATCCGTGAGATCAACAGGGTACAAGTAGAAAATTGCAATTAAGTGAATGAAGAAACAGAAAGAAGGCAAACAGTTTTTTTTAAGTAATTCATCTTTTATCAAGCTCTAGGAGTATGGAGGAACAGTTGTTGCCTTTTAAAGCAGTTTTGCTTTAACATAATTTTACTTTAAAACACAAGTAGATAGGTCCATTGTAATGTTTTAAGTAATGATTACCTTAACATATATTTAAATCAAAATTAATTTTACAATTGTTATGTTTAGATTTATATTTCAGTCTCTGCTAAATATTAATACAAACATATACGGTAAGTATCCAATTGTTGCTGTTTTCAGTGTTTAACTGAAAAAACAGGCAGGTAGACAAACACACAGACAGCCTGATTCTGGGCTTGTTGTGCTGAACATACCACTGGGTTTAACTATTGGATGAAAGTTAAACACATAACTAAGTCAGATAATACTAAAATGTTTAAATGTCAGTAAATCTTTCAAAATGTAATTGTAGGATCATAAATCTGATTGTTCTTGCCAAATACTTTCAACACAAATGCAGATTTTCTGAATATTTCCCCTAAGCTTATACATTTTCCCCAAGAATACAATTTCCCCCCCAGAAAATCCTTCAAATCATTCCTGTTCCTCTTTGTGTCATCCACGTATAAACAATGATATTTTTACATCAAATAAGTATATATATTAATTTTAATGAGTTTGCCGAGTATTGCTGAATATCAAGTTTCTGGTCAGATGTTATTTCAAGAGTAGCTTGATCTCTGACTGTTCTTTCTTTTGGCGAAATAACAAAAATAAATTAAACCAGTGGCCCCTGGATGTGACCAACACTAATAAAATAGACAATTGTGTCTAAGGAGAAAATGAATGTAGTATCTTAGTGAAAAAACTAGGTTTGGATAATGTCTAACTGATTGTGCAAGACTCCTGCGTCAAGTCTGGAGCGCTTCATACCTGAGAGAAAATTTTAAAGCCGGGCATACATTGTGCAATTTTTTTTGCCCTTTCAGGGGTGACTTTCAAGTCCTAGGAGAATTTTTGATCGGCCTGACTTTCAGCCTGCTTGTGCATATAGGGGGTAAAGAGGGGCGATCAGCGTCTCACGACCACCTCCCAATCAGGAATTGTGAGGTCGGGAGAAAATCAAACATATTTTATTTTCAGTCCACTGTCGTGGGCAAATTGCTCAGTGGGCATGCGCAAACAAGGATTCTTCTTCTTCCTCTTAGATGAAAACACAGAAGCATGGTGGGGGTGCGGGTGAAATGAAGTTCTTTCTGCAAAATTGATAAACCATAGTAGCTACGTTTGCTCAGCCATGTCTTTGTCCAGATACGTCACCGCTTTTTCTTCATAGGGCTTTCAGCACAAAATTGCACAAATTGTCATGGCAGCACGTTTCCCTCTAGTGAGCTTCATATTCCTCTTCTACTGGTTTGGCTTCCGGATAGACAAGTCCGAGTAGCGCCACCTCACTGCGGAGCTCAGTCCGACGTGGTTTTTAGACGTACAGTGTGAGCAGGTAGATAGCATCAGAGCATCGTGCTGCACAGTGTGAGAACATACATCTTGAGCTGTGAACTCACACTGGACGATGAAACCCTGCAGTTTCGTTGTAGTGTGAGCTGTAGCTGCGTGCAATGATTTAAAAAAAAATCGCACAGTGTATACCCGGCTTAAGAAGGAATTGTTCTTGTGTGAGGCTCAATAACACTAAGGGTAAGCCTTAATCACAGCTTGATTTGTTTTATCCAATACACTCATCGTTTCCAAACTTAGAAATAAATTCATTCTTGTTATAAAACTACTTTTAAAATGTATATCTGTTGCAGATATTGCGCTGATCTGCTTTCAACATTAACTCAACAGAATTAAAATGAAGACTGGATTTGACACTAAAAGGAAACAGATGGGAATTCCCTACTGACAGCTCAAACCCAAGCGATGACAGACCTTCTCCAGCTTAAAGCATGGCACCAAAGTAAGAAGCACCTGTTGCCCTGCAGCTATTTTATAGCACCTCTTGCTAACACCATTGGTTCCCTTTTTTAGTTATGAGGTCACTTACTTACACAGGCCAAAAATGTCCAAAGTGACAACCTTAAACTCCTCCACCCAACACCAGCTACTATTATGATCTGTTGCAGAATCAATAACCAGTTGCATGATCTTCACAAAAAGATAATAAGGCAAGGGATGATTGATAATAAAGGCTAAATATGGGAGATAATAAAAGTAACATCTAGTCCAAGAAGTACTTCAAGAGCAGAGGGAGAATTAAGTGAATGGCTCCAAACAGCAGAGACTGTGAAGGAGGGGGCTGCTCAGTGTGAATGGCATCCACAGATGTTCTTCATGTGTTTAGTGTGGCCGGACAGTCAGTGTTTGTTTGCATGAGAGATCTGTTCCTAGGAACAGCTGGCTGTCTAAACACCGCTCAACCCTTCATTTGCACATTAGCCATTCGTGATTGCCCAGAAGGTGTGCTCTACAAAGACCCACAGCTTAGTACATCATCATCTGCAGATATAAGGAATTTGTTATGACCTTTTATTTTTATATCTTTAAGGGATATGTTACAAATGTGGAAAGAAAAAAAAAAGCAAGTGAATAAATGATCTAACCTCAGAGGAAATGAGTAGATGTAGTGAGCCGGCCCATCTGGACCACTTATAAAAAGGTTGTTTATAGCACAACCAAAAATATTGTAGTTTGTCATTTCTGTTGTTAAAAAAAGCAAGGAAAAATGCTACATTTCCTGCACAACTGCTGAAGTGTAATGGTCTTTTGTCAAACATGAATTGCTGCCAAATTGCACCACAACTTCCTTTGATACACACAATGCGGACACGGTGCAAATCCAGGGCTATTCTCTCATCCCTTCTCCTTGGGGAGAAGTCTGTCAATGATGCAGTTAAAATAAATATAATAAAAGCTAGGTTAAACCCGAATTCTTTGAAAATGCATCTCAGTGTACTGAAACTCAAACAAACTCTTCAGCACCAGGTGACACCTACTCAGTCATGCTTGTTCAAATAAACACATGCACACAAACACTGCACTGGTGTTGGCCTCAGGGTCACCAGAGTTTTCCACTTTTGTTTATAGAAGTGAACTCTGATTAAAAGTATTTCCCATTCCTTTTGTTTTATTTTCAGTCAGCCATAGAAGCATATATCAGATTTATTCTCTCGTCTGAAGCATAATAAAATGTTCGACAGACCAGTGGTTAGTTTTAAGATTACCCTGATGCTTTTATCCATAATTATTGCAGATAATGGAGAAAACAACCCAGAGAACAATTTTCCTTTTTTCTTACCTTGTTTCTAGGCTTTGGGGAACCTAATTCATTATCCGTTCTTTCTCCAGCTGAGGCTCCACGTGCTGGCATGGCTACATCCTGTTGCATACTCTGTCCCACTTGCACCACTGCTTTGCAATCTACGCACGAGCCTATCACCAGCCTCCTTCCATCATCCACCAGGAGTGTGCGAGGGCTGCGAGGTGCATACAAAAACACAGGTAGCCTGGCCACATTGACGGCGCACAGCCTGCCTTGCCTGCGCTGCTCCTGCCTGCAGAAGAAGCACACAAAGGCCTCACAGCTGTACTGACGGGCCCACTGGGAGCTCGTTGACTGAGGGTTAGTGCCAGGTAACAAAGAAGCAGCTGGGCTGGAGGACTCCAAGGCCTTGCTCTCATGTTGTGCCCACTGAGAGTGCAGGTCATGGAAGCAAAGTTTACAGGCCGACACAAGGCCTGTGGCATCCACTGGTTTAGCACCTGGTGCAGGTGGGTAAACTGTTAGAAAAGGGAAGAAAGGCTCCCTCTCCCCAAAACGGCTGGGTGGGTTGACATGCAGCTGGTATTCTGCACCTGCACTCAGTTCCGCTCCACACAGGTAACACGCTGACAAGGAGCTGCCATGGTGAGAGCCCCCCTCAACCTGAGAGGGGGCTGGTCCGGGCAAATCAGAAGACAAGGAGGAATGGTACCGAACAAGAAATGAGCTAACAGATGTGATGAGGTCTTCGCTGAGGCTTAGTCGATATGCGTTCCAGATATCCAGCAGAATAGAGTGACATTGTGCGCAGCAGTGGACACAACCGTTCCTCATCACTTGAGCATTAGGTGGGCAAGGCAATAAGTTGATAAAGGGAAAGTACATCACGGCTCGGGATTTTCCTACACCAGTTTGTGCATATACTACTCTCAAATCTCCTCTACCCTCCTGGCCACAAAGGAAGCAGGCTTCATGAGACGACCTAGGTTCAAGTGTGACCTCAAGGGAACCTGGAGTTTTTCTGTCTAGTGCTTTATGTTGGGATGGATGAAGGGTGCTGGACTTTTGATTCAGGGGGACTACGTATAGGCGTTGGAGAACAGGCACATCAGCCAGCTGAAAGCTTTCCCACTGCTGCATGAGGGAGGTGTGGCAGCTGCCACAAACAATAGTTGTACCTGAGGTGCTGATGGGCACGGCACCCAGGGGAGCTGAGTGAAGCCAAAGGAAGGGAAAGAACGGCTCTCCTCGGGCTGACTCCTGTTTTTGAACACTAATTTTGAAACTGGCACCTTGTCTGAGCCCGGCACCACATATATAACACACTGGCTCCTCTGGGCAGGAGTTTGCAGCATGATGGGAGCTCCTCTTTGAAGACAGATCAGTGACAGCTCTTTGCAGAGCTGCTGGTCCAGCCTTTGGACCACAGATGTCCCGCTCATCATCACTTGTAATGTTTATCTCGTCTCCCTCTGAGTTTTCGGAGCTGTTCTCCCTCCCTACGGTGCATTTAGAGAGGACAGGAGACAGCGCAGGGTGGGAGTTGTTTTCGGCTCTCCCTCGTAGCAGCAGAGTTGGATGTCTGAATGGAGCGCAGCTGCTGTCGGTGACACGCTGGGTCTGACGCTGCTCCACATGTTTCATATTCTCCTCCTTCAGCGAGCGCCTGTTGCGCATAATCACGCCGTTGTCCTGCACAGGTGTGTCAGTTAGAGGATTGCCATAACACCGCGGAGGGAGCCTCTCCTGGGACTCTGCTGACTGACAGACATTATTCATCATTTTAGCCCCGCGCCGTGCCGCCTGCACACCATCAGCTTTAGATGATTCATGCGCGTCATAAACGCCCGCCGCACAGCGCACTGAATGCTGTGAATCCGGGCTGTTTTTGATACTGATCACATTGTTTTTCCTGCTACTGTCTTTCAGGGCTTTAGCAGGCGCTCTCAGACATTTTTCCCTGCCCACCCTGTCAACCAGATCCATCTCTTGATCTGAAATGTTCTCGTTTTCAGAAAAAGATGAGAAATCAGACTCTGCGCCCCCGTCGTAGTTATGGCTGATTCTCCTTTCCAGGTCGTAGGAGATGTTCCACTCCTGAGGGACCCGCCTGGAGTCGCACTGGTAGGGTCGTTTCAGCCAGTACATGCGCTTCTCGATGGGCGTCCTGCTCCGCTCGAAGGAGTTCCACTGCTCAGCCAGGAAGCAGTGGCACACCGCGCACACCAGCGCGCAGCCATCCGCGCTCAGCTCGCACGCACCCGGAGCTGGCTCCTGATTTTGGAGAAACGGGAAAAAGGGCAACCTCTCTTTCTGATATGTCACTTGCAGCCGTAGTTCTTTCCCGGGCGTGACGCCGCTCCCGCAGATAAAACAGTGAACAAGACCCCCGAATCCGTTCCGATCAGCCCTGGAGGCGCTGCGGGGCAACGCGCCGTCCTCAGCGGGCATCGCTGCAGCCATGAGCCGGTGTTTTCGAGATAAGAGTGCCAGCTCCTGGTTACTGGGAGAGTTCATTGTTTTTTAAACACCCGAGGCTAGGCTACATAGCAAAGCGTTAACAAGTTAAGTCATACTCGTGTTGCAAACGTGTCTGCGGGCGTGCAATGAGTTTCTGTCCAACTTACAAAGTGATAAGAGCCACGGCAGTCCATTGGAACAAGCGGTGCGCAGCGAAGCCAGCAGTCCCGTTAAGCGTTCTTTCCATCTCAACAACAAGGAAAATATCCTTCAAAACAGCCACGCAACTCCTTGTTATCTTGGGTCTGTGGTCCACATGTTTGTCCTGGAGGTCCACATGACAGAAGTTAAGATCTCTGCTCGTATCCAGCAAAACTTTCTTGCCTGCGCTGCGAAACTTTGGCTCCAAACTCACTAACACTGAACACAGCGCCATCCCCGATTCATGGGACCCGCTCAGACACCCCAAAGACAACCTCCACCCTCTGCCAGCCCCCCAGTAATACTGAGGATTTTTCATTTTCCGGTTAGAAGCTGTCAAGAGAGCTCATTTACAGAATAATAAAAATATAAAAAAAACAATGACAATCATATCTAGAATAATTAAATTTATAAGAAAGCAAAATGAGCTGTAAAGTTGCTTCGCATTTAAAATGTTTAAAGTGCGTTAAATATGTTTCTCCTTTATTGTTATTTATATATTTATTACCATCATTATTATTTATTATCTACCTATATTAATTCTCAAATTTTTACACCCATATAGCTTTTTGAAAAAAAAATCCCTAGTTTCCTGATATGGTGCGACATTTGTTAAGCACAACGTTGCTTACACATCTATCTAAATTAATATAATTAACTCCACTTTCATTAGATAGTATATAGTTCAGTGTAGACCATCACCATCTTTGGAACCTATCCACCCTATAGAAAATTGTGCATTCTCCATGCCATAGCATTAACTGAAAATGTTTTTTTTTTTTTTCTTTTTAATCACAACAACCTAGTATTTATGCACCACTATGCCTGCTGAAAATTCTGAGTAATATCTCAAAAAGTAGAAAACATGAAGTTGAAACTTTTCTTTAACTCTTTCTCTGTTTGCAAAACCATAATAATGAACCTTCACTCTATTTTTGCAATACTAACATGCATTGTCAGACCTCAATACTGTGTGTTATTGGATCACATGGGAGTTTCCCTATATGTTATCCCCCTAAATGAGTCTCCTGACTCGTTGAGATTACAGAGTGGAGAAGAGTTCTTGGGGGGGAAAAAACAATCATACAAAGATTGAATACAAAGCAAACAAATACAAACATTATTAATATTTTTGAAAAGATATTCAAGTAAAAGATTCACAGTTTATGGCTCAGATATTCCAAAAACATTTCAGACATGCTGATGATGCTCATGTTTTCCTTTGGGGTTTTTTTTTCTTCCAAATTACTTACAGCTGATATGCTAAATTTTTATTTACATTTATTTACATGTAATCAACATCAGATCTCAGTGGCATTCAAAATAAATCCACATATACAAATAAACAAAAGCCAATTACTCCAAAGCTGAACTTCTAGGAAAAAATAGGAATGATGCTAGAAATTTGTATTACACAGACAGAAATATAAAAAAAAACTTTTCTCAGAGCACACTTGTGTTCTTTTTGCTTCTTTTTTGAAGGTAGTTTAATTAAATCTTGTACAAATAAAGAATATCATGACAGAAATTGAAACAAAAACTGGTAGCTATGACTGAAAACACAACCAAGACGAAAGATACAAAATTAGACAAAAAACTGTATTCTCCCATCACATTCGCAACTGCTAAGATAGATAATCACAAGTAGATCTGATTTCACATTATACTACCAGTGCACTATATTCTGTGTATGCACTGCCACATGGCCTGGTTGTACTCATAACTTCAATGTGTAGTATGTGCTAATTTTTTATTGCCACATGGGAAGCATTATTTCACAGTTACACGACAGGTCTCTACACCATAACACAGAGACGTCTGGGAACCTGCACCTGTCTGAGGAAAATCAAGAAAAGGCAACGTAGAGCTTTTGAATTTTGAAAATAGCAGAATTCATTTTGCAATAAAAAAAAAAATGTAAAAACGCTTATAAAACCAATCAAGAAAAATAGAGGTTAAATAAAGACTAATTGTGGATTATTATTCACTGTATAAACTGGGAGAAACTGAGAGCTTATGTGCTGCATAAAACAAGAGGAAAACACACAGACATAAAATCTATTAGTACCTCTTAAGATTTAATTTTCTAAGCCCTCTTTTAACCTTTTTAACAAATACAATAAAGTCTTGAAAAATAAAGCCACGATTAATCAAACCACTGAAGTATGAAACCAGTGAGACCAGTGTGGATTAAGCAGACTGTGAAAAAACTAATGTCGATTACATATTTCTAAAGAACACAACATTTTGTAAATAAATTAACGGAGACCAAATCTTGTACATGTGGTGTCACAAAGACACATGATCACCTAGACTGCAGTTAGTATCAGCTGTGCCACACAGCACAGTGTTTTATTGTGCTTAATTCAGACCACATCTACTCAGAGAGTGTTGTGTTCAGCTTAGACTCCCAAAGTCCCTTACAGGAGTAATTTTGAGCCTCGCTGTCCGTTACCCCTTACCCAATGTTTTTTTTTTCTTTCCAATTCTAGGATTATAAAGATGTTTCCTCAAATTGTTCTAATTAAAGCAGCATCTTCCTACAGCAGTACCACTTCATTAGCCAATTATTGACTATAATAACACTTATAGAATAGTTAAAGATGCAGCTGTGCAATAGAAAGTTACTCTACACCAGCCTAAAGGTATAATGGAGGATTTTGGCAAATTTTTGAAAAGCCCCGCCCTCTCCAATTAAAAAAAAATGCACATGCACAACCTTGTACCCGCTCCCAAAAGGGAACGCTTATTAAGATTTTCCTTTTTTTGTAGGGTCTTGGCTAGATCTTCAGTGTCAAATTAAGAACAATCCTTTGACTCCAATAATGCTTGACAAAATTTAACAGTTCTGAGTACAAAAAACATGTAGAAAGATAGTGGCAAACAGTGTCTCTGACGAATGTTTCTCTCTCTGCTGGAGAAAGTTTCACCGAAAACTTTTTGAAGATTTGCAATTTTTCCACTATGTCAAACTCACCACCTTTAACTGAAAATGAGGGCGAGCACATACAGTAGGAAGGCCTTACGTAAACATATCACCAGAATGATTGACAAGTAGGCGGACCAATTATTTTGATGATCCACCCGGAAAAAGAACACCCTCCACTACACCCTTAACATCCAACAGGTATAAAGCCTTGCTTAAAGGCGCTGTGCCTGGTTTTATTTTAACCCCTCTAAGAAAAAATGCGTTTTACATGGTATATTATGTGGCAGAGGAGATAATTTTGCTAAAATAAATACCGCATTGATTGCACATTTCCAATTAACCACTAAGAGTTTTCCAACGATGACAGTTTTCTCCAAATAGGTGCAGGGCACTTCTTGTAAACAGAAGCCTGGCGGCCAACGAAGGGAAGGTTGTGATACCTCCACTCGCTGTCACTGCATATACAGCAAAACAGCCTAAAAGGGTCAAAACAGAGGAAAAGAAGAGTTAAAGTGCAAGAAAGACCAAAGAAGGAACAAAGCTCATGTAAATCTCAGACATTTGTATTAATAACCTGATTATCTTTTGACATTTCTGTTATTGGTTTTCAGGTGAAAAATAAACCTTGCTTTGCATTTTCTTTTGTTTTTTGCTTGGTCTTGTGCCATGAAACTTACCCCCAAACATGCCATCCGATCTTAAAGCATGGTGGTGGTTGCATAAACCAACATGCTTGTAATGATGCTTTGCTACAGACATTCACAGAGAGACTGTCACAATCTTCCTAAAGGTGTTTTGTACTCAGAACTGATAAAGGGCAGATTATACTTTTGCAACCGCACACATCAAATGTCGTTTGGTTCTGGTCGCGAACCAGTTTTGTTGGTATGCTTCTGCACCGTCAGTCTGGAATTTCTAGGGACGCACAGCAGTTTCCCGCCAAAGTGCAAGGGGGAGCCTATTCGAGAACTCGCAAGAACTTCGGTGAATGGTCACGAGTGTTTATCTTCCAAAACAACAATGGAGCATCTGCAAGATATCACCGTCATGGAGATTGATCTAGAGTTGCTAGGCATTGAAGAGGAACAGGTTCTGTTAATGGAGTTGGCAAAAAGACAAAAGAGGACGCGTAGGTTGTGCATTGTAGTTTTTAAAAATGGTGCGCCCTGGCACCGAATCGAGAAGGACAACCACACAGACAGCAGGAAAGGCATACCAATGACAAATCACAGCTGCGTTTTGTCTGCACACTTCCGCCTGAGGTCTGCGCGGGTTTGCGACCGTCCGACGCGTAGTCAGGATTTTTTTTAGGTTGCAGAACCGTCACAGAGACGGATTTGAGGGTTGCAGAGGCTATGTGTCAGAAGCATAGATTGGCCTTTAATCTGTCAAGCATTATTGCAGTCAAAGGATTGTTCTTAATATAAAACTGAAGACAAAGACCCTACAAAGACTGCTCACATTTAGCTAGATTTGTCTTCAAACTGCAGCACAGTTGTCATTCAGTGCAAGCACAGGACACTATCTTAGTTTTTCCTATGAGCCTCCACTCAAGTGAATTAACTATCTGAGGATGGCCCTTCTGTAAAATGAGCCTAATTTTAATGTCCACCATGTATCAAAATTAAGATAATTACCTTTCCTAACTTAAATACTGCCTAGACAGATCATACAGTATAGAACAATACTTTGTTAAAGACAATAAGTACCATAGTAATTCTTCCCCTTAACTTCCCTTTATTTCTCTCTATTATCTTCCCACCCCACAGTCTGATGAATGGTACCGGTACATTATTTTTTTTTCCGGCACTCTTAAATAATTAAGTTTGATTTTATTAGCTAATTGACATTGTTGCAAGCAACACTGATGCTTCCTAATTACCACATTAGTGACTTTAATGGCCCTTTAAAAGTCATTATTCTAATTAAAATGACTGAGCCTGTTACTTCCAACCATGTTCAAAAGGAGAGAAGAATTTTGGATGAGAGGTTCAAGCTCTTAAAGGAAACCAAATATGTCTAATAGCCTTCTAATTAAGCTTTCAAAAATATGGATTCATTTAAAATAAGAGCTCTGCAAACCCACTTTCTGAAGGTTTGACAACCTGAGCACCATTCTTGACCTAAATACCTTTAAGAACGGGACACCAACTAACAACAGGGAGATCTATTAACTATAAAAACTGAGAAAACGTATAAGAGCAGCGAACCTTCCCAAGAGAAATCAGCATAAAGAAAGAAGACATTTTGAGTTGAGAAAACTTCCTGGAGGGGAAGCGAAACGTCTTCAAACCTTGGAAAAAAGGTCCAGTGGATTGTTTCT